TTTTTTAGAAATAAAAGCATTACAAACATCGTTGACAAAAATGATAAACATGGTGCACAAAAATAACAAAACTTACGAACATTACAAAGAAACCGACAAACATTACAAAATAACAAAGGGTACAAACATTACAAAATAAACCGACAAGCGGTACAAAGCATACTAAACGTACAAAATGTCACTAAAAATGACAAACAAGAATGATAAACAAAACAAACCGAATTGATACAAAAATTATAAATTATGTCAACAAACATCACAAATCCAGCACTGTCACCGGGAAATCCTTCTCCGTCGTCGCTGATCGCTGGAAAGTCTCCTCCGATCAACATAATCTCTCTCTCTGGGACACACCATTTTTTTGGTGGCCTGGAAAAAAAAAATGGAGACGGCAGACAAAAATATTGGCTGCCGACAAATCCTGGACAACGGAGAATGCCTGGAAATTCTCGGTTCAGGCGGGAGAATTATTAATTATATTAAAAAATAAATTAATAATCATGGGTGAGTTCGACTTAGGCAAGTGAATAAGGGACCCCCCTTAGACCGGGTCCAACTCAAGGAGCTAAAAATGATAAAAAGCCAAATTTAGCTTTTTTCATGATCCAACCCACAAATAAAGTGGCTGCTAAATATGGGTAAGTGGATTTGAGGAGCCAAATTTGGCTGGGCAAAGATGGTGGTCCCGGTGCAAGGGTGGGTAGTTTTTTGTCCTTTTCTTCTTTGCTTCTCATTTGTGATTGGTTGGTGGTTTTTTTTTTCTCTTCCCATTTGAATGAGAAATAAATGGTGTAATGACGAAGCAACATGAAATGCAAACTACTGAAACATGAAATACAAACTACCAAGAAATATTAAGTAAAAGATAACAAATTAATGCCTAATTTTCTGAATTTTCTTTTGTCTCGAAATTCCAAAAAAAAAACATCAAAGTTTTATTTTCAAAAGTAATAAGGAACTATAAAAAATTAAATTTAAATATAAAAATTAAGATCAAATAAGTATGATTTATTGAAATAAATTGAAAAGGGAGGTGTAAAGCTAAATTTAGTTTTTTGTAGGGTTGGAGTGAAAATGAGGTTTGGGATTTACATGCCGCCGCGAGATTGTTTAGTCAATACGGTGGCGAGCAGGTAAAGTCTAGCAACGTTCCGATTATAAACTCAACGTGGTCGCGTGGCATTGTGAGAATCAACTATGTCGCATGCCTAAACGACCACGAGTTGAGACCTGTGGGTGAACAACGAAGTCTTGATCTTGAGCTTGGCATGTTTAGCAATGTCGGTGGTGTTTTCTTGAAAGATGCCATGAGCTCATATATAGGGACACTGATGAGGTGCGGCTTGGTGAGTTTAACAAGGCTGCGAGGGCAACAAGGTTGCGTGACCAAAAAGGTCGCGAAGTAGGCCATGTTGTGAGGTCACTTGGCCACAAATTTGGTGGTTTGGTCACAAGGGTTTTCAACCGTGTGTCGTTGTGAGAGAACAATACCGTTTTGATAACTTTGTGATTCACGAGTGAAGAGGAAGCAAAGTCATTGAAGACCACAACTTTGCAATGAAGAGCAGTTACGAGGCGGTTCCACAGGGAAGTTACGTTAATATGAAGATGATTTTAGATAAAATCACTAGAGCAATGAGAGAGAAGGGGTCAACCAAAATCAACACAGAAAACACATCTTTCAAATTATCTTATCTCCGTAATTCCTTCGCGAAGCTCTCCTTCCAGAAAGGACCTCCATAGTCGTATCGTAGTCCCAGAGCTATCCACGGGAATCTCATATGAATAGATCTAACATAGATTACCAAAAAACTCAAACACCCTCGTTCGAAAATTGTTTGGAGAGGAGTGAACCAAGTAACAATCATCTTGGTTTTCAAAAGTAGAGGTGCATAGATCAAATCATCAGTGCCTGAAATAATTTGTACATGCCCGACGATGGATATTTGATGGTCATCTTGATTTCATAGCTCAGGGGGTGCATCCCGTTAAACAACACCGCAAAAGTTTCCACCGTGAAACAATAAGTCACAAGTAGTCAAATGAAGCACACCACAAATAAGCAGGCCACAAATTCGATAAAATAGGCCACAAGTTTATTCAAGCACACTAGAAGTAATATAAAACAGACGACAGTTTTATTATAGCAGGCCACAAGTTTATAAAAATACACCACAATTTTATTAAAGCAGACCACAAACCGACAAAGTAAACCCAAAATTTATTAAAGCAATCCACAAGTTCTACAAATCAAACCAGGAAATCACACCATATATTTTCTTACAATTCAATCATTGTTTTCTCCATTCTTCCATATACTGTGTAATCAACACATCTATCTATCTATCTATACATAATATTATGGCAATTCAAAAGTAATTGTTTGCCACCTAAGCACTTGGAGAGTTCACAAATTACCAAGGTGGACAATATTTTTACAAAAAGAAAAATAATTATTGATATATTTATGGAGCTATCTCTCTCTTCATTTAATATTTCATTTCTCTTTTATCCTTTTTTTGTATTATATCAATGTACACAATAATAAATAATGTATGAAAAGTGACATATATTCATTTGTTATCTCTAACTTTTTTACTATTTATTTTTATTTTCCAATACTTCCTTTATGTTTTTTTTTTACTTTTGCATTGTATCGATGTACGCAACAATAGACTAATGTCTTTGAGTCACACATATAACTTTTTTCTCAACCAAAAAAATATCTTATTAAAGCTCACTAAGTAAATTTTTAACTCACTTTTACAATAATTTACAAATATGTTACATTTTAATGAACAATATATACAAACACACATACATAATAACATTTTATCGCGAAAAAATAAAGATGGAAATTAAAGAGAGAAAACAAGAAACGCTTGAATAGAAACTTGGCCTAGCAATAAAATCTATTTCTTAAACAAAAACCTTATTCATTCTAATTAATTGAAGACCTATGAATCATAGGTGCAATAATTTACAATGTATCCTAAGTTCAAATTACTAATATTTTGCATTTTTGCTCTAGATCGTGTTAATTGAGCAAAATCTACTGAAGTTTTACGTCATATGTTAAGAAATTTAATTTTCAAACTTGGAGTAGTAAATTTTCAAGGATTATAAATCAAAATTTTTAAAATGACTTCGGTATGATTGTTTATGAACTTGACTTCATATCTTTAGATGAGACACGAGATGCATTAAAAAATGATACATCTGAAAGTTAGATGAATCGTTGCTAAACTGTATGTTAAACATCATGTGTTCATCAACCACTGACCTATGCATTAATCAAATAAAGGTTTAAAATCTATCTATCTGTCTATCTATCTATCTATAACAATTCAACAATAGTTTTTTTGCCACATAAGCACTTGAAGAATTTACAAATTATCATGGTTGACACTATTTTTACAAACACAAAAGTAAGTTAATGCTCAATTTATGTAGCTATCTCTATCTTCATTTAATGTTTCCTTTTGTTTTTATTTAATAATTAAACTGTACCTTTTGTAGTATATATGTGTAGCAGCAGTATACTAATGTTTAGAGGCTAACATGTATCGCGATTGTTTAAACAAAAATATTTGAATAAATCTTATTAAGAAAATTTTTAGTTTACATCATATGATAAGTAGGTGTTAGGCCATTATCTTTTGATTTTTCATTAGGAGAAGAAATTTTGAGTGAAGGAAAGCAAACCAAATAACGGGTGTTAAATGCAATAGAGAGTGGAGATACCCGAGTAGACGAAACTAACTATGTCAACAATTTGGTGGCGCATGTGAGAAATGGTGCAGGAGGACAATTTAAAATTCAGCTGGCGATGTTACTATATGGGCCGTGAATTGGTGGACAAAGGTGAGGATTGGACAGAACAGATCTGGTATAGAACTTCAGTAGCGGTCGTGACAAAATGTAGGAGGAGACAACTTAGCAATTGATACATATAGAGTAAATAACATTTAAATAGCTAAACCTTTCAGTTTTTTTAAATTATTAGCCAAACCTTTTGAACTACAAATGATTAGCCAAATATTTTGTATCACATCAAAATATTAACTATTTTTTTGTTATCATTAATAATCTTTTTAATTAAAATACTAAATTGGATTATAGTCTATAGACCGTCACGTGTCTCTTCCAACTCATCATCATGTTGTTGAGTCAACATTACTAACAAAAATGCTAACGGGGAGTTAACGTTTGGCTAATACTTTGTATTTTGAATTTTTTTTGAAAGATTTGGTTAATAAAATGTATTTACTATGTTATATAATATACTAAATTTGGGTCTCTTGATAGACATATGTTAACTTAAGATCGTTATGAGACTTCATGAACATCCACATGAAAATGAGGCAAGATTAGAGAAGTTGATCATCGGTGTGATCTTTATTAGCAAACACATGCATTTTTTTTTGCAATAAAACACATGCATAACTAATAATATATTTCCGGAATAAAATAATTTGATAAAAATTCAATGGAGGAATCACCTCATTGGATAAATGAAGATGATAAGTAAGAATAACTTTTCTCTCACTTATAATGTGTACTTCCATCCCTTATTTTCTTTTACAATTGTTCATATTTCCCCTTATTTTCGGGTTAATTGCATGGATGGTCATTGAGATTATAAAAAACGTTCATGTTTGGTCACTAGAAATATTTAAATCCAATCTTGGTCACTCAAATTAGTTAATTGGTTCAAGTTTGGTCACTCTCCGTCTAACTCCGTTAAATTTGTCTGATGTGGCAGTCAACCTTCAAAGTTGACCGTTAACTCAGTGACGTGGCAATTAAAAAATAATAAATAAAATAAATTTTAATTTTCTTCTATTTCCAACTCATTTTCACAATAAAATAAAATAAATAAAACAAAAAAAATTATAATTACACATTGAAAAGGGCACTTCCTCCGCCACTACATCTCTTCCCCGCAACCAAGCCAGCAGCAGCTTCGCCGGCCCGTTGCCCTTCCGGAATTAGAAAACGGGAACCATGGCGCTTACCTCCCTAATCTTGCTGCTCTCTGTGTTGAGCATCACAACTGCCGCCGTGTCCCTAAACCAGGACGGGCTGTTCCTGCAGCGGGTGAAGCTGGGCCTCTCCGACCCCAACGACGTCCTCTCCTCCTGGAACGAGCGCGACCCCACCCCTTGCTCCTCGAACGGCGTCCTCTGCTCCCCAGACGGCGCCCACGTCACCGCCGTCGACCTCTCCAACGCCCTCCTCGCCGGCCCTTTCCCCTCCTTCCTCTGCCGCATCCAAACTCTCACCTCCCTCTCCCTCTTCAACAACTCCATCAACTCCTTCCTCTTCTATCTCCTGTTTCAATTTGAACAGGATGCAGTGATTGCATGCTGTAACTGTATTGTGGTGGCTATAAGTAAACATATTTCTTCATTCACTCATCCCCTGATTCAATTGGGAAAAACTGTGGAAGGTATTGAGCATTTGGTTTAGAAATGTGGGGGCAGAAATAAAGGAAACAGATAGGGTGGAGAAGAAAGAGAACTGGCATGGGGTTTTCCACAAAGGACGAGGGAACAAGGCTAGTGACATGGAATTGGGAGCTGAATATGACCGGGGAGCTGCAGGGACGGCGACAGTAGGCGGAGCTAGGGATTGGAATTGGAAGTTGGTTTGGTTGCGGGAAGGGATGTAGTGGCAGAGGAAATGCCCATTTTCAATGTGTAATTATAATTTTTTTTGTTTTATTTATTTTACTTTATTGTGAAAATGAGTTGGAAATGGAAGAAAATTAAAATTTATTTTATTTATTATTTTTTAATTGCCACGTCACTGAGTTAACGGTCAACTTTGAGGGTTGACTGCCACATCAGACAAATTTAACAGAGTTAGACGGAGAGTGACCAAACTTGAACCATTTAACTAATTTGAGTGACCAAGATTAGATTTAAATATTTATAGTGACCAAACATGAACGTTTTTTGTAATCTCAATGACCAACCATGCAATTAACCCCCTTATTTTCTTAACATTTTACAAATCCCGGTAAAAAATAAGTATTAATTACACTTAAAAATAATTAAACTCTTTTTAATATATATTCTATATATTGACAATAAATGTGGCCATACAAAAAAATGCATATATTAGTATAAGTAATGAAATTTTTATTTCTAAACAAATACCAAACATAAATGAAGTTTAGAAAATGAAGGTTCTACAAATTGTAAAATTATACACTAACGCACCATATTAAGATCAAAATCCGTATGTGGGTATCTTGGATTGAGATTCTAAAATAATATATAAATAACGATAATGAGTCTCAGTTAGTCCAAATTAAATTTCAGAAATTAGCAATTGATACATATTGTATAAGAAACTAAATACAAATAAGATCTTACAGTAAACTTCATGAACATCCAAAGTATCAACTTTTAATTGGGATGAAGAAATTTATCCAATAATGAAGTATATGTACAAAGAAACTCTAACTAAGATGTCCTCATCTGAACAACGTGGATTTATATAAGATAGAAAAAATTGTACATAGGACGTGGTATACCTTTGTGACATGGTTTATGATTAGAGAATTCAAACATTATAATTGAATGTGCCAAGTATTGAGAATTTTCAATATATAGACACACCACATACTCACTTATCAATACAAAATATAATAAATTTAGAAGGTCCAAAATAGTTTGAACATATAGATAAATTGAATTAATGTCAACGATAAAATGAAATTTTGCGGCCAACGGGCCGGGTAAAAAGCTAGTATTATTAAAGGTGAAAGCCAAAACCCATTGCTCCATTTCAAATTTCCTGCATTGAGAGTGAATGTAGGAAGGACAATTTTGTCTTCACAACTACTTATTTCTTTCTTATTAATTCATAAAAAAAATATATACATATGAGAATTTGAACCATGACCACTTTTAAGAGAGGGAACGACTACAACCAATCACACTACATATATTTATTGCATCTTTTAAGAGAAAAACATACACAAACCTAAAATCTCAAAAATTAGAAGACCTTTTCAGCGGTTAACTAGCAACTAAATCTCTCATAAGTACTTATTCGGTGATTTGATACTTCGAATTTCATATTTTTTTATTATTTTAATTGTATTTTAATACTTAATTTATATTTCAATGTATATTATAAAGAGAGGATAACTTTAAAATTGCAACCCATATATCACTTGGTTGAATATTGCATATAAAATTAGAGTATTAAATAGGTCGAAGCAATGTCAAAATTTTAAATTAGTATTAATATTTAGAATTAACTATGAAGAAATCATAACCTTATGCAGACAAATGGGACTGTTTTTTTAATGTTTTAGCCGGGTTAACTTCTAAACTTTCAACATGTTCCTAATCTGGTATGATTAGATCTAATGATCATTGTACGAGATTGAGCTTAATTATTGGTTCATTTCACCATTTTTGACATGCTAATGAATTTCTAGGGCAATGACATATGTCTACGTCTAAACCCAATACAATATATAAGACTAGAATGGGAAAAGTATTTTCCCGTTTCAAATTCCTACAATGAGAGCGAAAGTATGAATGATATATTTGCCTTCACAATTATTAAATTTATTTATTTGTAGAAAGTAAACAAGTATTGGAATTTGAACCAATGTATCTTCCAAAAAAGACAAGAATCATAAGCCTGATTGTCAACCCAAGTCACACACGTTGGGCGAATCAGTTTTGCCCAAACCCTAGTATTTGTTAGGATGTTGAAGGCCCAGTTGGTTATCAACCCAAACTTGGTCAAACTAAGAAAACCAGGTGAATTTGGAAATAGAGTTGATTCAACTAACTCATCTAAGCACTGAGTCGCTTCAAACCGACATCATTTTAATCACTAGCTCTGTTGACATGTCGTCCTTTTCCTTATCAAATACCCATGCAGCAACATACATCAACCACCCGTCTTCTGTTATCCCATAATATATTTTCCTCACACATTTAAAAGTAGGTGATGGAAACTAGGTAAATAAGTGATTGCAAATTTACTATTTTGAAACCCAAAACTGAAGGAATTTAGATCATCTCATTTCGCAGTCAATTAAAAAGTATTATGGGAAAGTGATACCTTAGTGTTGGATGTGGTGGTGAATGAACAACTAATGCCAAACGTGGCCTAAAAAATTCCCTCCACTATGAATTGCACAAAAACATCCTTCCCAAAACCAATTTATTACCAGTCAAATCATATTTGGTAATATCACTTGAATGTCATACCAATAAACGACTATTTAGTTTGAGTCTAAATTAGACCTATTATAGAGGCTACAAAAAAAACAACTCTAATGTAATTTTTGCAATTTTTTTGTATAACAAACATAAATGTGGAAACACCGATAATGAAGGTGTGAATTGGTTTAATGCGAATAACTAGATGGTCGATATTTCCTTATAGGTATATTTATATGGACTCAAATAGATTCAAATTGTGGGTTCGACTCAAATAAATGTTTTTCTACTCTAACTCTATCCCCTATTCCATAATTAGTAAATTAAAGTAATCCGGCCAACGGGTGGGGTGAAAGCTAGTTATACTAGGATATAATTATCCTTTTATGGTGCGAATACACATGAGAGTGAAGCAAAATAAATAGTGAACAAGAAGTTGGGCAGAACGTCTCCAACTCAAGAAGTGGAAAAAGATCCGGCTTTGCAGCGTTACGGGGTCTCGCATCTTGACCATCAACTGTCTCCTTCAAGTAACGCCGGGAAAGCTTGCAAGTTGCTTCGAAGGAAGAAATCATGGCGAAGAAGAAAGTAGAGTATGCGCCAACTAAAAGGTAGCGGTATCGGGTTTCTCATTCGGCTAATTGTGTCGGCGTCGCTGGAGTCCTCGCAAATCATACAATCACCACCGTCGCTACCAGGTTTGTGATCAGGATTCTGTCTTCTTTCTCTGTTGCCATGGTCAGTCGATTGAGTCACTCGGCGCCAACGAACTAGGTCGCATCAATACGCTAGCTATCCCCTTGGCGTCATGACTCATGACAGAGGGGACAGAAGGAGCTGGGGAGGAGGAAAAGCAGAAGAAATAGGATAAATTCTAATTTATCTTTTCTAAAAGTATTAGGACACCTTATCCGCTTTCATGAAAATTGTGGTACAAATTCAACTTGTATACTATATTATTTTTTCATAGAAAAGTCTTTTTATTGTACAAATGAAACTTGTACTTTTAACATTATGTTATAAATTCAACTTATATATTAACCTTTTCATACAAAATAATTTACGTTGAAAAATAAACCTGAAATATTAAGATACAAATCCAGTTTATATCTTCAAACCTCGATGCTTACAAGTTACAACTTACAAGACATGGACTTGTCGATTGGTGTAAGGGATGTACTTCAAATTCGGCACGGATTATTAAAGATCTTAGTCATGCGTTGAACATAGCACGAAATGCACAAGTTGTTGATTGTACAATAATTCGAGAGCTTGAGTTTAGATTGGGGGTCCAATATGAGCGGGAGGAGTTGTACTAGCGCCGCAAATCAAGGATCAACTGGTTAAAGGGAGGGGACAAAAATACAGGGTATTTTCAGCTCATTACTTCAATAAGACGACAAAAGAATTTTATCTGCGGTTTGGAGGATAGTATGGGAAGATGGACCACGACAGAGGGTGGCAAATGCGATATAGCAGTGAGTTATTATAAAGACCTATTCCAAAGCAACAACTTGGAGGGGATTAGCCTGTCTAATTTACCCTTTCCTGGTATGGTTAATGAGGATCAAAATTTGGGATTGATTGCACCGGTCACACCGGAAGAGATTAGGAAGGTGGTCTTTAGTATGGGAAAAACTCAAGCACCCGGACCAGATGGTTTCACTGCTTGCTTCTTTCAAGCACACTGGGACATAGTTGGCCCCGATATCATCCAAGCAGTACTTGCTTTCTTTCATTCTGGGCACCTCCTAAGAAGCTTCAATCGAACGTGGATATCCCTTGTACCTAATGTAGCGAAGGTGCGAACCATGAAGCACCTACGTCCTATTAGCTTGTGCCAAGTCTTTTACAAAATAATCTCAAAAATCTTGGCTAATAGGCTTAGTCTGGTTTTTCCCCGACTAATCTATGGGTCCCAAAATGGGTTTATCAAGGGGCGTCAGATTACTGATAATATCTTGGTCAGTCATGAAATCACTCATCACCTGAAAACCATACCTGCAGGTCAAAAGACGTGGATGGCCCTGAAATTGGATATGGAGAAAGCATATGACCGCATAGAATGGCCTTTTATGTTGGAAATGATGAAGGAATTAGGGTTTCACCCCAAATTTATAGCCTGGATTAAGGAATGTGTTACTACGGTCTCATATTCTATAATTATTAACGGTAACGCAACCGAGTACTTCCGAACTTCTAGAGGACTCAGACAGGGGGATCCTCTCTCTCCTCTGATTTTTGCTATATGCTCAGAAGGATTCTCTGGCTTGTACAGTCAGGCCGTGTCTATGGGATTCTTGGAAGGA